TAGGCAAGCACTTTGCTTGTGGAGATGCATGATAAAGTGGTGGATGGGTCATACACGCAGGCTGACGGAGTTTGAACAGGAAAAAAATTAGAAGAGGACGCGGGAGGTGCTTGGGACTTGAGATAGACGGGTGACCTGGGCATAATAGCTTGGAAAATTTTTATCTTATTATCTTGTAATTCTTGTTTCTCCTATTGCATTTGAATAAGATGTCAATGTATCTAGACAAGAATTGATTGGCCCTAGCCATTCTCTTCCACTCTTGATCTTGGTTCTTATTTTTCATGCTTCTTCTACATGATATTGAGCGTGATTTGGTTATGGTGGCACCTCTCGGCCCAGCCAAGAAGAAGCAAGGCTACGGTTCAGACAAGACTCCTTATATCAGTCTAGGCAGGAAATTTAACAAAGGAAAAAAAAGGTACATCTGTTGTAACCAGTAATGCAGGAATTAAGATCATTCCTCCTATATTTATTGGAGTGCGCACGGGTGCCAGGGGAAGACGAGTGATCTAAAGGGTGCTTAGTGCTGGAACGTGGGCATGCCTCACGGGAGCAGCGACACATAAATGTACGGGTTTACGAATCATGGGAGGAACAGTGAAATGCACAAGTGTGCATGGTTTAGAATGTTTTGGAGCTTTAGCTGGGTTGTGGATCAGAACGAACGATGGAGGCTGGGCATGAGTGGGATTGGCCTCGACTTGACAGGTTTGCTCGTGGAGTTAGTGCAAGGAGCCTGTCAGATCTCAATAAGCGCGGATTCTTGCGAACATGTATTTTTTTATATTCATTGTAAATTTCAGATTAATGTGGAGATTGTTATGATTGATCTAATTTTAGGTTAAGTTATTCCCCCAAGACATCACACCATTATCAATGCCTATATATAAATGATATAGGTTGATGTATTAGTGGGAAAATTTGAATAAAACTTTAGTATTATTTTCCTCCAAATTTTGCGCTACCCCTCTATTCCTCTCTCCAAAGAATATCAAGAATCTCTCCTTCTCAAAATTTCCAACAATATTATTTTGAGACTCTTCTGGATTAGTCAATGGCCTTTTAAGATTGATGTATTTGACTACCATCAATATGTTATCCCATAGCTTTGTACATAAAGGAAAAATGATTTCATCAACCAGAGCCTTATAAATAATTAATGTTGAATTTTTTTTTTCTAATTATAATACATTGATCTTTTTATCTAAGCAACTTGGCTAGAAATGATCTAGAGTAACTAGTTTTAATGCTTGCATTAATTAGTAATGCAATGGTTGGTTTAACCCTAGGCATGAGATTCATAAAATAATTAAATTTGTTCAAACTTAGTATTTTAATATCACTATGATTAAACTTTAAATGGTTTTGCTTGAAATCCTAACTTAAGACCTAGGTTAGCCCGATGTGAACAAGTGAGACCGATTCATGTAGGTTCGAGTCATATGGGAGCTTAAGTTTTCCTCATGATTCGAGGAAGGGAATTCATGCAATAGCAAAAAGAGGGAGGAGTGATGGAATCGCCTTATAATGGATATAGAACTCCAACCCCTGTCTATGTGTTAGTCACCCCCCATTTTATATCTCCATCCATCTCTTTATCTTTTAAAGATCATCAACGACATCCTCTTTCAATGTGATGAATGGTAATATTTACTTAGTGTAACAGAGTTGTGCGTGATGAGGATGTTGTTGAGGAGGTCTTGCAAAATAGTGATATTATGATCCATTCAATGTGTAGTTATGTCATAGTAGGATTTTTTTTTAATTAGAAAATGTTGTTCTACACCTTTAGTGGAGGTTTTTCGGATTGATGGATTGATGGCCTATTTTGGAGCTGCATGAATGTACTTGCTAGTTAACTATATTTGATTCATTTTGGTTGAGAGCTATTTAACTTGGTTATTATAAAGTTGGTCATGGGTGATTGATCTTGGTAGATCATTCTTCACCATCAATTTGGCTAAGTTGAGTGCATGCTTGGTGATCTGGTTGTATCCTAGTAAACCTTGTTGAGTGGGTTAATAGGAGTCTCATGATAGTAAGATGGATGATTCATGAATATTTTCGTAGTATATATATCATAACATAGGGATCATGTAATGAGCCTCTTTGATAAAAACAATGGATTATAAACAATATCAATATTGATTAGTCATGCTCAATGTTCGCTAGGTCAATCTTTGACTATTCTTATCGAACATCACATAAACAACATAGATTGAGTATGAACAATAGAGTGTTGCACACTTATACTTAGGGCCGGTCCTTAACTAACAATAACTCAATTTAATCAAGATATCAACTAAGTTAATCTTTATAATTTATAAATCTCAATTCAATCCATTTGGTTTTTAAAAAGGTTAAACTTAGGTCAACCTTAGGCCAAACATAATTCTAATTGGGCCCAATGAGCCAATAGTAGCTATGGATCTTATTTGCTCATTCAACTAGCTCAAATCATGTTTGAATTAATCTTAATTGACTATTAGATCATTTTGTTCTGAATGTGGTCCAAGATTTGCCTAAAATTAACAATGCCTAAAAATGCTTAAGGTCTTGCACAAAATTAATTATTTTAAAAACTTAGAACCTTTCTAGTCCAATTTAGACCCAATTAATATAACATGATCTAAAATTTGAAATTTATGTAACTTACTTTAACCATAGATGCAGATATATCCTAATTATTTAAACATGAGTTAGCTGAGCCTAATTGATTTGTTAAATATCCCAATTGAAGAACCTTTGAACCTAATCTAGCCCAAGTTGGCTCATCTAACTCAAAGAGATCTAAACCTTCAAATTGGCCAAATTGATTGAATTGAAGTTTTGCATTGAATACTAGTATGTCAGCAATAGGTTAATTACGTCCAATTGATCATTGATTAAGCCAACTGATTCATTGAAACCAAGCTGAACCAATTAAACCTTTTTGACCATTTAACCAATTTGATTAAATTGGTTCTAGCCAAACCATGCAATAGATTTCAATTGATCAACAATATTCAACTCATGCCCAATTGATCAATGGATCAACCAAATTGGCTATTGAACTAGGATTAACTAAATTGAACATAATTTGACCCATTGGGGCCAATTTGACCAAGTTGGCTAAATTGACCTTAATCAAGTCATCAATTCATTCAAAAAGGTTACAATAAACAACTTGAACCCAATTACCCTTGTCTTAGCCAGTTAATAAAAATTACCCAATTTATCTCAATTGAAAAGCATTTGAACCCATTTGACTCGTTAAAACTAATTTTGACCTGAATGGACAAATCAACTCAAATTAGTCATTACAATTGATTCAAGTAGGTTAATCATATTATAATTGAACTCAAATGATTATTGATTGAGTCTAATTGTCCCAAATTTTGCCTACGACCCAATACTGACCCTATTGAATCAATTTGATTTAATCAAGCTCAATGAACTCTTACGTTTGACCCAAATATAAATAAGAAAATGGATTGATCTAACAATTATTCGGGAGTAGAGAGTGCACAATTCTATTTGAGTCAACTCCTCGTCTTTGTTTGGCAAACATATCTTTTAAGTATTTATATATATATATATATATATTGATGTTGTTTTGAATTACAATATTTTTATTGAGCTTTGAGACAAGTGGATTCTTATTCTATGAACTTATTAATATATTTAGAATTTAACTCAAATTAATTTTATAAGAATTTCGTGGCAACCAAATTATCACCAGTTCAAATAGTCCAATTTTTATTTATTTATTTATGAATTGAATTTTCTCATTTCTTATATAAAAAAATGGTGTCTCTTTTGCATGTTTTGGACGGATTTCTTAATGTATTTTGAAGTAATTTTCTAATAAAAATTTTTAATTTTGAATTAGGAAGTTGCTTTTAAGAATTTCGTGGCAATCAAATCATCACTAGTTCAAGATAGTCCACCAAATTTTTTTTTTTTTTTATTAAATGAATTTTCTCAATTCTTATAAAAATTAGTTATGTATCTTTGACTTCCTTTGGGACAGCTTTCATACTATTTCTTAAAGTGGTTTTTTAAGGCAAAATTTTTTATATATCACCAAAAAATTATCTTGATCGGACACGAATCTTGAGGCAAAATCAAGTTGAAATTTTTCAAAAGTTAATATGGAACAATACAAACTCGGATTTCATCAAACTTACAATCGAACTGAACGTCTCAAAAATATGAACCCAATGATACCAAATTCGACTCAATCCAAGCCCAACTAGGTCCAAATCGAAGACCCAAAGCGTATTTAAAAGTTCATATCATAAATTGGATGACCAAACGATTTCCAAATGCAACATGCTTATAGTCAAATCGAGCAGCTCAACGAGACGAATCCAATAAGCCCAAGATCATCATATTTTGACATCACAAAGGCATTTCAATGCCTAATAGACGATTCATGATCAAGGGAATTAATATCGACCATCAATTCTAACCACACATAACTTACCCTTGACCTTTCTCCTATTTAATGGTCATGCCAATGTCATAAAACTATAAATAAACCCTTCATTCCTCATGGAAGTTGACCCCAAGCAAGGAAGAGAGAGAAACTAGAGTTCTCTTGCCACCAAACTTCTCCTTGACCACCTCCATACTTACATCCTACCATTAACTATCGTTGGACTTTCGTCCAGCCATCGACAAACGTCAAACTTCTGCAGGCCATTAACTGACATCAGACTTCTGCCTGGCCACCGATTATCATCGTACTTCCGCCTAATCACTGAATATTGCTGAACTTCCATCCAATCTCCATCGTCGGACTTCAATCTTTTGTTCTCTTTTTTGTGCTGAATATCCCTATAAAACTGAGACATAAAATTTCGACTCTATTGCGGCGGATATTTTAGCCCGCAACCATTTTTATTTTGAATTGTAAAACTGCTTTAAGAAATTGTCACGGAACTCATTGCTTGCATTAGTTGGGACCCACCTCAGCTACACCCAGCTCCCATTTCTTATGAGCTTTCATAATCTCGTGATGCGCTAGCTCACTCCCCTCCCCAATATCTTCCGGCCTGAAACCAAACTCCCCCTCTCCGCCATTCGATTCTTCGCCAGAGACGTGAGAAATGGCGAGCAAACCATCCATAGAGAAGCCGCTTCTCGCCAACAAACATGGCGGCATGCAGCCCCCGTCGAACGGCTCCGGCGACTTGTCGGAATTTGACGACGCGCCGGTAGTAACGTCCTTCGGCGACGCCTGGGAAGCCTTCTCGCGGGAGTCAAGGAAGCTGTGGGCGATCACCGTCCCTATAGGTTTCAGTATCCTTTGCCTCTACGGTATCAACTCCGCCTCTCAGATCTTCGCCGGCCATCTCGGCAACCTCCAGCTTTCCGCGGTGGCTATTGGCCTCTCCGTCATCTCCAATTTCTCCTTTGGCTTTCTCGTAAGTCCATTTTCCAAAAATTTATTAAAAATTAAATTAATTTATCGATCCGTTTAGTGATGAGTTGAAGCTTATCTCGTACGTACGATTTCTCATTAATTAAAAAATAAACATTTATACAATAATATTCCGATAATATTTTTTGTTAAACAGGTATTGCAAATCCGTTCTGAGGGTTACGTTGTAATATATATTTTGCAGATTAATGCTAAATAATTTAATATTTTAAGATAGATCACCATGCAGTTTAGTTTAAGCCACGTCGCTCGCTCACTCACTCTGACTTTTGGATTTAGTCAAAGTTCAAAACTCGAAAGATTCGTTATTATAAAAATATATATATATATCTTTATTTTAAATAAAAATGTAAAAACTAAATAAAAAAAAGTACTTAATTTGCAATTTTGGTTTCTTATATAACAATTTTTTTTGCGATATTTAGATCAATTAAGTCAAACTCACACATAAGATTCAAATCTAAGACCTCTTAGATGACAGTCAATACTTCCAACGAGCAGACCAAGAGTAATACAACCATAATTTTTTTTATATAGCATTTGCATAAACAAAAAATAATTTTGTTCAATGTTCATGAAGCCTATGACGAATTTAAAGCTTATGTGAAATCATTATTAGTCAACGAATTATTCGTATATTGATTAATGACATGTCCTATGTAAAGTCTAAAAAACGAGCCAAATAATGAAAATTAGAAGCTTCGAGAAGGGGGAGGATTTAGGCTTCGTTTGGGATGACTTTCTTATTGCTTCTTAAAGCGGCTTTTTAGTAAAAAATTTATTAAAAAATCATTTTAAAAATCAGAAAGAAAGATGTCCCAAACAAAGCCTTAAGCCAATCTAAAAAAGAAGGTGGTTGAGAGAATTTGAGTGCATGAAAATTTTAAAAATCTCTTATTCCTTGCTTGGTGTGGCCAACCCTAGTATCAAATGATCTAATTTTAAGCTTCCTAATTATACTTTAATGACTTTTGAGTGAATAGGGGATGACAATGCACTTATTTTGAGAGTTGTGTATGATGATGAGCTCTAATATTGATGCAATGTTTTAATTTCTGACCTTTTCCTTGACATTTGTCATGATGATGCATCAAATCTCTCTAATTAATTTTGACAACTCTAAAGAAAGTCATCTAAGAAAATTTAATACATGTGTAAAAACATTCACAACAAAGATTCAAAATTCAAAAATAAAATTCTTTCATTAATTTCAAATGGAGAGAGTTATATTCAAGGTTGTGAAAATGGGATCGGGCATCGAACAAGAAGAAGGAGAGGTTCACTGTTCGATTGGTTTGATGGGGATCGAATTGGGTGACATAATAAGTAATAATATTATTAAAAATGAATCAAATTAACATAAGAATATGACAACCTAACCTAAACCTCATAATTTTAAGAATTTAAACCCATAATAATATGACAATCTAATTAAACAATTTTGAAAAAAATTTACGGAGATATTTGCACAAACATCTTGGATGTATTGAGCTGCTTGTTGGGCATCATGCATGGCTTAATCCAAAGAATTTCCACACCTATTAGCTGACATTCCATCAACATTCTCATCATGCATAAAATTATCAACCATTCCTTGAATGTCCCCGCCGGGATTCGATTGATGGTTTAGATTCAACATTCGAATGATACAACATTCAGAACAAAACAAATTAATTTGGAGTGTCGATTGAAGAAGCATTCGTGAGACTAAATCTAAAAGGGGGTAAAATAGGACATACTTGTTTGCTTTTCGTAGATTCAGCTCTATGAATGTTGACCTACAACGAAAATATTGCTCTAGGTTTAAGGTTTAATTAGAAGAAAAAATCCCTTGACTGTTCGGGCTTGGATTGTGAGATCAAAGAGGAGATATGATAGGAAAAACTTCAAATTGGGGAAGAAAGGGCTTTTGTAACGAGATCATAGTTTTGAAAAATCGAGGTTGGTTCACCAATCGGTTGGTTTGATCGTAGTTCCACTGGCCTTCTTTCGATTTTAAGCAAACGTGGTTACATCAATAGACTGAGCCGGCTGATTCACGGTTGAACGGACCGGTCTGATCCGATTTTTAAAACCTTAGTCATATTTCTAATAAAAAATATTAGATTTCAAAGTTAAAAGACTTAAAATTACATCCATTTTCATGGGATACAATGGCCTAGCCAAGGACATCTTCTTGCAAGATTTGATTCTTAGCACCAACTAAGATGATCTTAGCTCTACATTTGTCAACTCTTCCTAATTATTCAATGTTATCTTTTCGACCCCATTTAACAGCTTGGACATTATGCCATAATACTTATCAATATTTCAAAATTATGAAAATATCTTTCTTACAACTTTGCACAAACAATGATGATTTTCAAATACGCAGAAATTTTAATCTGCATATTTTTTATTTCAAACGAATTAAATAGTACTATTTTCAAAAAAATTATATTTAAAACATTTTACACCTCTTTTATTTTAAGCTAATAAGCCCCTAAATTTCATATAAATCCTTTTATAAATAAATATTAAAATTTAATGGTATGAATGTATTTCCTTTTATAAATTTATATTATTTAAATGTTTTTTATTTTGTGTTTTTTAATAGCTGGGGATGGGAAGCGCTCTGGAGACACTATGCGGGCAAGCTTTCGGCGCCGGTCAGGTGGAGAAACTAGGCGTGTATATGCAGCGGTCATGGATCATCCTCCTAGCGTCGGCCGTTCTCCTCTGCCCAATCTACATTTTCGCCACCCCCATCCTCAAGCTAATCGGCCAACAAGACGACATCGCCGTCGCCGCCGGCCGCTTCAGCATCGCCATCATCCCCCAAGTCTTCGCCCTGGCCATCAACTTTCCCACCCAGAAGTTCCTCCAAGCTCAGAGCAAGGTCGGAGTCCTCGCCTGCATCGGTTTCGCGGCCGTCCTCCTGCACATCGCTCTCCTCTCCCTCTTCATCTACGTTTTCAGATGGGGTATTCTCGGTGCCGCCGCCGCCTTCAACATTTCTCAGTGGACGGTCACTGTTTCCCAACTCGTCTATGTATTTGGATGGTGTAGGGATGGATGGACTGGCTTCTCCTGGGCGGCTTTTAGGGACTTATGGGCTTTCGTCAAGCTCTCGCTGGCCTCCGCGGTTATGCTTTGTCTAGAGATTTGGTACATGATGGTTCTCGTTGTGCTCACCGGGCATCTCAAGAACGCTGAGATTGCCGTTGGCTCCATTTCCATCTGGTACGTTCTTGGAAATTATTAGTTCTTGACAAAATTAAGTTTTGCTAGAAGTTGTTGCACATCTTTAAAATGGAGTACATAGATGTAGATGTATGTTCACGTATTCAGCAACACAAAGCTGAGTACTCATTTGACGCTTGAGTGCACAATTGTGGACTCCCGTTTTACAGTCATAAAGATACATATGCACAAATCACACCTAATAATTTCTCCTAATTTGTGGCTTTCCTACTCCTCGGGTTAAAGTAGTAGATGTAGATATGGTACAGCGGAGTCCAGATATGGAGAATCTTACAGTTTTGTGACTGAAATAGTAACTTCACTTTTACTTTTCTCGATTACAAAACTGAATGATTTCTATGTACGTAATAATCTCTCCGAGCTTCTCTGTGTCCAAACTTTTCTTCATCCTTTTGCCCTGCCGGCCTAGATTATAGGTGAAAATTAAATTTTTTGTGTGAACAGTGCAAGTCCAATTCATAAGTTTAAGACATACCACAAAATAACTCCTAAACTCTTTATTTGATTGAAGATGAAATTGTGTTGGCTAAAATTTATAATAAATGAATTTTTGTTTTGATCATTTAGTTGCACTTTTAGCGTAAAAATGTGTGATGCTCCTGTCAAAAAAAAAAAAAAATTGTTTTTTTCCATATTTTATGCCTAATTGTATCTTCTTTTATGTATTGAATGGACTGCAGCATGAACATAAATGGATGGGAAGGGATGATATTCATCGGTATCAATGCAGCCATAAGGTAGTGTTTCACTTTGAATTGAATAAACTTTATTTAGTTGTTATGATTATTGAGACGCTAGTGATACATGTCACATACTGTGTGTTTATAGATGTTATGATTTTTAGGATTATAAAGAACAAAATGTTTGCATGTCCACTATATAACAATCATATCCAGGCATCTCAACTTATCAAGCAATTGATATTTTTTAATAATATGACATTTCTTTGAGATGTCTATGAATCTAACAAACCTTTCAATGTTTTCTCAAATGATACTGTTATGATGCTTGATCTATTTAATTTTGATAGTGTTCGGGTCTCGAATGAACTTGGATCAGGACGGCCGAGGGCAACCAAGCATGCCGTTGTGGTTGTGGTGGCTACGTCTCTAGTGATTGGGCTCTTTTTCATGTTTGTCATTCTTGCTGCAAGAGATTATTTTCCAGTTTTATTCACTAGTGATAAAGAGATGCAGCAGGCTGTCACAAGAATTGCTTATCTTCTTGGGATTACAATGGTGCTCAATAGCATCCAGCCAGTGATTTCAGGTGAGGATTATTAGTTGTTTGCTCAATATTGAGCATAATTTCGGTTTTGTAAACCTTTACTATCATTGATATTTGTTTTTTGGCTCTCACTTTCTCTCTGTATATATCTCTCTATCTCTATTTGTTTTGATTTTGACAGGAGTGGCAATCGGAGGTGGATGGCAAGGTCTTGTGGCTTACATTAACTTGGGATGTTATTATATTTTTGGCCTTCCATTAGGGTTTGTACTGGGATATGTCTTGCATTGGGGAGTTCGGGTAAGTTTTAGTCTCAAATATCCATTACCATTTTACTTATGTACAAAACTTTCAATAACCTCTTAAATTATAAAAATAAGGTCAATAATTTATCAGACAATTAAGAAGAGCATTTTTTTTGTTTTTATGATGCATTTGACAAAACAAATGAAGAAAACAAAAACTAAACAATACAATATATTATGATGGAGGTTGTTGGGTATAAACTAGAGTGGGCTTGAGGATACTGATGATGCATATCTTATTGATCATTAAAGTCTAAGTTAGAGATAAGTTGTAGGTTCTACTAATTTTTTCTTTATTTAGATTGCGACAACCAATCGATAATGAACTTGAGGGTGTAAATTAAAACTTACTTTGTATTTTCAATTAGCTAAATGTGTCCTAAAACTATATTGGGAATGGTTGAAAGGGTTCATCTCATAGTTTGTGAATTTCAAAATTGAATCCCATTTTACTGTTTGAATTTGCATATTTTGCATTATCTAATATTTTTTAGGTTGATGTTATATATATATTTTTAGGGCTTCAACTAGTCATAGAAGGCACACTCAATTGACTTTACAATTATAGGAGCTTCCTTCGCCTACAAATCCATCATTGGCTCCCCATTCATTGATAGTTTAAGATCATCTTTGCCTGTTACCTATCAGTCAAATTCTCGACCAACCTTAGAACTACAATAATCAAATAATAACTAAATGTAATTGTTAAATTATTGCCTCCACATACTCATAAGTTCTAACACAAATATCTTCGGAACAAGCTTGATACGTCATGCAAAAATTATCTTGATCGGGCACGAATCTCGAGGTAAAAAGCTAGCCGGAAACTTCAAAAATTAAATCCGGGATCATCTAAACTCCAATTTCAGCAAACTTACAGTCAAACTGAGCGTCTCAGAAATACGAACCCAATGACACCAAATTCAACCCAATCCGAGCCCAAATGGGTCCAAATCTAGGACCCGAAGCGCTGTTGGAAGGTTCAAACCACAATTTGAGTTACCAAACGGTCTCCGATTTTAATGAGCTTATACTCGAATTGAACGGCTCAGCGAGACGAATCCAACAAGCCTAAGATCGTCGAATTCCTACATCATTAAGGCCTCCAAATGTTCATCGAATGGTGCACAATCGAATGGTTCAATATCGACCGTCCATTCGACCACCCCCTATTCGCCCATGATCTCACATCTATTTACGAGCTATGCCACTCCAGAAATGCTATAAATAGAGCCCTCATTCTACACAAAGGGGACTCAAGTGAAGAGAGAGAAGAAGAAGGGAAGAAGAAGAGAAAGGGGAAAAGGAAAATCCTCTCCTCCTCGACCCGTAGCTCTTCCTGCCGCCTGAATACGTCGGAACTCTGCCGGATTTTCAGGAAACGACGGGATTCTGGAAAACTTTGTAAATTTGCTTCAAGTTTTAATCTGATCGTCTCGATTTGTTGGATGAATCAGTTTCTTGTAATTTACAAAAACACTAGTGGAACTTTTCAGCGACCTCCGTCGCCCGCCGACTACGGTTCTCCTGACTCACGTCTCAGTTCTTCCGACCTCCGTCGCCCGCCGACTACGGTTCTCCTGACTCACGTCGCCCGCCGACTACAGTCTTTCCGACCTTTGTCGCCCGCCGACTACGGTCCTCCTGACATACATCGCCCACCGACTACAAGTCTTCCGATCTCCGTCGCCCTCCGACTACGGTCCTTCCGACCAAACGAACATGTCAACAATGACTCTTTGTATTAACATCATGTAATGTACTCCATAAGATGTACATCAAGCTAAGACCTTCCACCAAGGAAGGACTTCATTTGTAATCAACTACAATACTAGTGGATTAATTCAAACTGGGCTAGGCCCCGTGGTTTTTTTCCCCTTTTCAGGGGTTTTCCACGTAAAAACATTGGTGTCTCATGTGAATGCTAGACCCTCTCCCTTATCTGATTGCGTGCCGGATTTTCGTACAACGCTAAGACGTTAAATATGATATTTTTCTACCGCCGCGAATATTCCTGGACGCAACAAAGCTCATACTATAAAGAAGGTCTCCAATGTTCAGAAGAAGTGATTGAGATCTCAACATGTGATGACTATCAAATAAGGATCTTTAAGATCAACTTGCTATCTTAAGGTACTATGAAATCGAGCTAGCCAATTTATTTAAAAATAACTAGGATGTACAAGCTTGGAATCCTTCAAAGATGCAAATGGTGGACATTTTGATGACAAGTCACCATCCACTTTGAAAGCATGTCCATAAACACAGATAGCAATGGAGATGAGAAAGTAGATCTAAGCCAAAGTTGCTAAGTTCCACGCAGTAGTATTAAGCTAAGAGATTGAATACTCTAACTGGATATTTGGATCTTAAATGCCATGATGGCAATGTTCACCTAAAAGTAGCAGATGTACGTGAAATTCAAAAAGAAGAGCCAGACATGCCCAAGAGACTCCTGCCCATTATTAATTACAAACTTCTCAACCAACTATTTGACATTGAGCTTTTTCAATGTATCTTTCGATACACCATTCAAGATGCACCATAAAGATGAAAATATAGCTTTCACCACCAGTGATGGCAAGTGCGACCATACAATTGTTCCGATGAGTCTAAGAACATTGTGCCACCTATCGAAGGTTAATGTCTTCCTATCTGTAATTTTGCCTCTTTCTTGTTTTGGATATCACAATTTCTCTCTATTTTTGAGCATTCATCTAATAGACAACAAGTCAATTTATGGAGACTTTGTTGTTTTTTTTTTTTTGTATATTTCTTTTTAGAACAAGTAGTAGAGCAGATGGTATTAGGTGTAGCTGGAATGTTCATAGCAGAGCAGCTGGTAGCAAGATCTGGGCAGTAGCAAAGGGAAAACTAGTAGTTGTGGAGTTATTGTCAGGGGCAAACAACTATGGAAGAATAAGAGAAGAAATGAGTAAAGATTTGAGGGGAATGTAATTAATTTCTATTTATAGGCAATCAATTTATTTTTATCTTTTCCTAAAAACTTCATTATTCATGAAATATCTTATCCCATCAAACTAACTCCACAAATCAAGAGGAATCTTATCCCTCTTTAACTTCATTAATTAATTAAATTTAAATTTATTCAAAATACACATTTATCCAAACTAAGCTCATAATTCATCTGAATCTGGATGTCCTCTCGATCACCATCCAATGGTCTAGATTTTCTTATCCCCTTACCTTAATTATGAGGTATATGAGAAACAAATAGTGCCAATGCTTAGCTTGGTTGGTGGGCGAGTATGGTTGGGAACCCCCCAACCTATGTTCGATTCCCCTCGAGCAGCAGCTGCTCTTAAGTGGGGCCTAATCAAGCGTGGGCCAAGAGGTTTCTGGGGTGGGTGCCTCTTATAGGTTAGCCAAGATTTAGTCATGCCACCAAGCGCCCTTTCGGGGGTGGCAGCCGGTAGATATCCTGTTCCAAAAAAAAAAAATCAGTAATTTTTCTAAACTAAGTTCATAATTCATCCGAATCTGGATGTTCTCTCAATCACCATCTAATGGTCTAGATTTTCTTATCTGCTTACCTTAATTATAAGGTACATGAGAAACAAACAGTGAAGTAGTGCAGTGATTTACGATTTTTAATCCACAAGCAGGGGTATTATATAACCATCTAAGAAAAGAGAGAGATCCAGATTACCAACAGATTGCTTAACAGACATAGGAAGAACATGATTCCAAGAGATAGAACAAGTGTTAGAGCTGAGGAAAACAGTTGGCCAAATTCATATTACAATCAAAATGAAGAGTCATAAGATTTGCTTGAATTCCAAAAAGAAAGCGGAGAGGAAGCTTTAAAATAATTCACCAATCACCAGTAATAGATTTTTCTACGAACTATTTTCAATGGTTTAAGATTCTTAAATGAAATATAAGTAATCTTTACAATTAAGATTTTTTTAATGGTCTTCCAAATGAAAGGATTTATTCTTATTAATCATCATTATTATCACTTCTTGTATCCTAATAACAAATCCTTCCTCTTGATTCTCACATGTAAAAATTTTATCCTCTCTAAATTTAGGAGAAAGTATTTCATTTTCTTTCATTTTAAACCTTCATTGAACAAACATGTCTGATGACTAATTCTCACAGGGCATTTGGGTCGGCATGCTTTGTGGCACAGCATTGCAGACTTCAATTCTGCTGTTCATTGTTTGGAGGACAAACTGGAAGAAGGAGGTATCAACTTTTATCTATTCATTATTTGAATTCTTCTTCTTTTTACTCTCATTTACTCTATTCTGTCTTTCTCAAATGCCTAAATGCACAAATTGCAGGCTGCACAAGCTGTATCACGCGTGCGATTGTGGGCTGGCGAGACAAACACTGTAAGCTAGAGAAATTAGCATCTTGGAGATAGTTTTGGCTTCGTTTGGAACGGCTTTCTTACTACTTAAAGCAGTTTTTTAGTACAAAAATTAAAAAGCTTTTTTAAGAAGCAGTAAGAAAGACGTCCCAAACAAAGTCTTATTACGAGAAAAACAGATTTTTTTAAAGTTATTATGAATATGATAGCTTTCTTTAGAGCTACCTCACTCCAACAAAATTTTATTTGTAAAAAACTTCTCATTGCAGAAGTTTAAATAAACATATTGCAATGATTTGTTGAATAAAACTATGAAAAATTTGTCCCAAATGTACTTGGAATCTATCATAATAAAAGTGCTGATAGATTTTGTTACTTGTCAAGTGAATAATGCACAAAGTTGGACTCAGAAATCACTCCAAAATTGCATAAACATTGTCAGAATGGCCATCCATGGGAAGCATGAAAGGTTGGTATGGGTTTAATATCAACAGAGAAAATAGATGTTTTGTGCTTTCCACATGCTCCAAACAGAGGGAGTAATTCATATCAACAGAAATATTGTGAATGAATAGTGCCTCAACGGTTTTCAGCCTGCTAACAATGGCCAATCAAGCATAAGAGCATAATCTCAAAGAGTATCTTTTACGCTAAATATATTTGCACCAAGTAACCATATATGAATATTTGGACCCGTTTATGCAAATTGATAGTTATGATTTTTTGAAATTAATAAATAGTGTATAGATTTCTCTGTATTTTATAGATCGTTGCATTTCATACGTGAAGTTGAATGTTGAATTGCATAGAAAAATGGTAAGATTGATATATGATACATTTATATGTAAGTAAGGAATGTTGATTATGAACACTATAATAAATACTAGTTGATTATTAAAATGATAATACTTTATACTAGAGGGTGGGTTGACGAGTTTTTTTTTTTTTAAATAAAAAGTTTGTGATGTAATCCTAGGTGTTAGCCTATAACCGATTGATCGGTTATGCCGATAGATAGAGAGTGATGACTTTTCATTATTTTATTGATGTCACATGTTTAAATAAATAATTAATAGAAATAATTGATTGATGATGATGGATTAATATGATAGATGGAAGGATGAAAATATTACTTTAAAAGCTGGATGTCCAACATTATTGAATTCAGTAATAATATGTTTACATGATATCATACATAATTGCATATATGATATGATAGATATAAAAATTATAGATAAGATTTATGATATAAATGAGAAATAAGATTGATGACATATAAATAGATAAGACTGATGATATATGTGGCTGATGATTGATGATTGATAAAACTAATGGCTGATATGATTGTTGGAACATAAGATATGATATACGGTGATTGATCGACTGATAATGTGATTGATTGATTGATATTATTGATATGCAGTTGATTGATTGAGTACTGATATGATCATATGATATATGATGAAAATATAACTGATACATGTATATGATAAGACTACATATAAATTATATGATATTGTTCATATTGACTACTATATATTCCTATAGTTATATGTTTATTATTTCTGTTTAATGCATTGACATCAGTTGTAGATATTGGTTACTTGTTGGGTTATGCGCTCATTATATAATTTTTATATGTTTTTGGCAAGGTTAAGTATCGTGTAGATTGATGTTATTCTGGGATGCATGCTTAAGTTTCTTTTTGCATCTATCTGTTTTTCTCTTTCTTTTTGTAGTCATGATGTATTATTTTAGAGATGAATTATTATGGTTGATCATTATGATTATGTATATATTATTTTGGGGTATGTTGCAAATATTTGGTGAAAAAATGTGTAATTATGTTTTTTGATATTTTTATTTTCTCAATGCAATTTGTAGCTCTATTCATTGATAGAAAATAATAAAAAGATGCAATTTTTTTTTCAATTTAGATTATAAAGTGTGACATCTTATAATCATATAAATAGGCATCTCCTTCATAGTGAATCCCTAATTCCCCCCCTCACGACGTCAATCTTCTTTTCCAATATCTCAAATGATTACTATGATATATCAAAAGAACTATCAATTTATTATAGTGACTTGCACCTTGGCATGTACTTAGGCTTCGTTTGGGACGACTTTTTTATTGCTTTTTAAAATAGAGTTTTAGTAAAAAAAATTTAAAAAATTTTGTACTAAAATTATACTTTAAGAAGCCATAAAAAAACCATCCCAAATGAAGTATTAGATTCAATCTAAGGGCGCAATCATGCTGATCATAAATTTAAATAGGATATTGTTCTCTCATAGGCAATACATTAAAATCTTGATGTGTTAAGAAATACTGCATAATAGCGTACTCATCCATGAAGACTAATTATGGCACCCTTTCCTTGCCTGCTTTAGACCTCATATGATTATAAAACCTCCTCCAAAAATTCAGATTACTATTCAACCCCTTTTACAACTATAATGTGGCACAATATTTTCTGTTATAGTCATAGGCATAGCCAACCATCTAATCTTTCATGTCCACATCAAATATATCAAGATATACTATTATTTTATTTGTGATTACATTAGACTGAAGGATAGCGTGGACATATCATCAAAAGATTATCTTGATAAAACATGAATCTCGAGAAAAATTTGAATTGAAAACTTCTGAAATTAAATTGGAGCGATCTGAACTCTGATTTCATCAAACTTATAGTCGAATCGAACATCTCAAGGAGACAAATCCAATAACACCAACTTCGATCCAATTCGAGCCCAAATAGATCCAAATCAAGGACCCAAAGTGCATTTAGAAGGTTCAAAGCATAAATTAGATGACCAAATAATATTAAAGTGTGACATGCTTATACTAGAATCAAGCGGCTCGGCGAGACAAATCCAATGAGCTCAAAATTGCTGAATTCTAACATCATTAAAATACTCAAATGCTTAATAAATGGTCTATGATCAAGTGAATCAATATCGGCCGTCCATCAAAAACACTATTAACATGCCCTTGATATTCTCTCTATTTACTAGACACGTCACTCATAGAAAATTATAAATAGACTCATAATTCTTCATTGAGAGAGGGGCATGAAAGAAAAAGAGAAAGAAGATAAGAGATGAAGAGAAATTTGGGAGATCTATTGCACCAAACTTCTCCTCCTTGATCACTATCCAGCCACCGACATCGTCGAACTTCTGCCCGACAGCCGTCAGACTTCCGCTCTATAACCGTGGGACTTCTGCCCGACCATCATCATTCACACAAAGTTCAACCCACTTCCTATACTATTGTAATCTAACCGTCCTTAAGTTTAGGAATGATCTTTGTAATCTACTCAAACACTAGTGAAATCATTTCGATTAGGCGTGGCCCCGTAGTTTTTTTCCCTTTTTCAGTATTATCCATGTAAAAATCCTGGTGTTTTTCTCTAATTGTGTGATGGATATTAGTGCAATGACATGACAAAAATTTCTCTTATTTTACTTCAGCAAATATTCTAGCTTGCAATAGTTTGACGTCATTTGCAGAAAAATAATCTCACTATTAAAAGTATAACTGAATCATTTTCAATGTTCAATATACGTAGCAATCGTAATATGGGAGCCTCCCGCTCCAACTCACGCCAATTTAGGGATTAATTTATAAATTAAGGACACCAAGCATCTGCCTCTTTTTATCTTAGTGGGTAAAAATCCTTTTGGAGAAGGGACTTCAAGACCCTCCCTAAAAGACCGCATCTAAAAAATGGAAGAATCTCAAAATGAGACCCTTCAACTTCTATGAGGGGCTTGACAACCAACACTAGCACAACAAGGGGGGATTCATCTCCCTCAGGATCTACCACTAAATATAGAGGTCCAACATGAATATCTTCAAACAATATATCCTCTTCTCAATCAAGATTCATCCCCCCATCACATCAAGACAATGATCTTGTTGACATAGTCAGTTCGACACATCCCTCTCATGTAGGACGACCAATCCGCATTCCTCTGTCCACTATCGAGGGATTGGTCTAACCTTGCATTGATGAAATCCTACACAATGCTCTATGAGAGGAACAGTAGCGATTAGTCAGGAAAAAGTTCCCTTTAATAGGTGGAAGACAATCCCTTCATCCTTGAGATTTTCAAGAATGATCTCCTCTAATTGAAGACAACTTTAAAAACCCCGTTCCTAAATGCTTCAAGCTTTTAAGCATAGATGCATATGACATATATTTTGATCCTTACAAACATATATATCACTATAGAATCATTATGCATATCCAACAAGCCTCTAATGCACTTCTCTGCCAAGCATTTCCTGTAACTCTCAAAGGACAAGCTCGCATATGATTCTATTAGCTTCCAACCAGAACTATCCCAAAATATGTCAAGTTGGCCAAGCTATTTATCGACCAATTTATTATAAATCGAAGAATTGTTAAAAAAAAAAATCTCATCTCTCTTGGATTCGCCAAAATTAAGGAGAGTCACTTAAGAAGTATTTTCAAATATTCTTCATCAAAGCTCGACAAATTTTATGGATAGATCACAAGTTATTGAAAAAAGTTTTCCTCATAGGGCTTTGTCATGGTCCCTTTTGCTTGACACTTATGCGATACACAATTTATTAATATGCTGACTTGATTCATTATGTGGAGGAACAAATATTAGCAGATGAAGTCATCAATGCTCTTAGGAAGAAATTTGAGCAAACTACTATAAAGCGCAAATGTGCCTATGATGGAAAACTCATCTTTATAGCGAAGGAAGTAAGAGAAAAATAACCTGCCTCCTCGACTTCCACTACCATGACACGAGCCTTGACAAGAGAAGAGTATACACTACTTAATACATCTCAAACAAATGTACTAATGGCCATCCAAGAAGAAGAAAATATTAAGCGGTCAAATACTTTAAAACAAAACACAGAAAATCAGGTGCATTACTGCCATTTCCATCATAGTCGTGGATACACAACTGAAGCATGCAAATAGCTCAAGGATGGAATTGAGAGACTGTTTCAACAATACTACTTTAGACAGTTCATTTAAAATCCACTCGGTCATAAGTACACTCCTTCTGTTGGGGAGCAACCTGCATAAAGATAACAACAGAATAATCGTCAAAGGATTGGTGAAATTGAAATTATTATCATGAGCCCATCATTATCTAACCAAGTCCTACTTGTAATAAACAGGGAGAAAACACCAAATTATTGATCACTATATTAGTTTTGCTTACTCCGACTTGGAGGGGGTCAAGACTCCTCAAAAAGATCCACTTGTTATTAATACAGGGATTGGTGAGTTGTGTTACTACGCCAAGAGAATTTTAGTTGACAATAGGAGCTCAATGGATGTCTTAATTACTTTACTTTTCTCAACATGGGTCTCACTAAAGTCTAAAGAGAAACTTCAGCTCGTTGCAGGAACACTATATGAGTTTGATAATCGACTCCCAGTCACACAAACAATATCTCCCAGTCGTATTCAGAGAGTTTTCTCTTCAAGCCACTCACACAATCCAATATATTGTGATAAAATCAGAGTCAACTTATAATGCTATCTTTGAAAGATCCCTTCACTCGACTTTTGAGGTTATTGCCTCCATTCAATATCTCAAATTGAAGTTTTTTACCCCAACTGTGATCGATATGGTGCGTGGAGATCAATAATTGGCGCAATCATATTATCTTAGGCAAGCTCAACCGTGCTTGTTAGTCACCCTAAGTATTGAGGATTTCGATCTCCGGAATAAAGATATCCCTAAGAGGACTTCATCGCAAAAGACCTTACTTGTGTCTCTATATCATACAAATACCCTTCAAGAACTATGTAGATTAGGTCTTTGCTCTTAGATGAATATTAAAAAAAAAACATAGACTTCCCATATAGAAACCCGAATATTTTTGCATGTAGTCTAACCGATATGTCTGGAATCAATCCTAAGCTAATTGTGCACTCTCTCAAAGTAAACCTTACATGTAAGCCGATTATCCAAAAGAAATGAAGCTTTTGTACCAAATTGCCAGCAATCAATCGAATATAAAGTAGATAAACTTCTAAAGGCTAGATTCATATGGGAAGTGCATTATCCCATATGTTTGATAAATGTAATATGATCGTCCTCAATTTTAGGGATGATCTTTGTAATCTATTAAAATACTAGTGGAATCATTTCGATTGGACGTGTCCATACAGTTTTTTCCCCTATTTAGGGGTTTTCATATAAAAATCCTAGCATTTTTTTCTAGTTGTGCACTGATATCTGTGCAACGTGAGAATACAAAATTATCTTACTTTATTGCTGTGAATATTCTAGTCCACAACAAACATAATTCACCACATCCTAAGATGAACTAGTTGTCATTTTCCCCACGTCTCACTCTCCCCCACTTTATAACTTTCTAAAACACTTAATTTATATTATAAAATTTCAAGTGTCCAATAGTTGAAATCTTCATAGAGAACTCATATTATCTTTACATTGTTTTATTTTGATAATTTATCATAAAATACAATTAAATTATATTACTGGTTCAATTTAAAATATAAAGCATTACTATTTTAATAAATTTATCACTCTAAAATATTCTAATTTTAACTTTAGTAAACATATATTAAAAAAAAACTCAAGATAATCATTAATTAATTAAAATTTCACTTTATAAAGTCTTATATTAATATTTACTTGATGTATTTACACTAATTATGTGAAAAAATTTTTTAAATAAATAAATAATTTTTTTTTAAATTAATATAATTGATTCTAATTTTAGCATAATTTCAAATACTTTTCAGCTAATCCAATTTAAGTAAGATATCTCTGAGAAGCTAAAATAATTAATCAAATAAATAAAACAATGCGAAAAGAATGCGCGGAATCTTTTCAGTGGCGACGAAATAAGAGTGTGCGAGATAGATATGGCTGTAGAATAATTTAGCAGGTTATTTTATTGGAATTGTCCTCTCTCGCTCTTTGTCCGATCCGTTTCTCTTCTCCGCCTTGCGACGCTCTCTTCTCCTCCATCTGGTTTTTCTTCTCGGCACTCTGTACTGTCTGAAGCGGGCCCGATGTCTTCTCCGAGCAAGCGGAGGGAGATGGACTTCATGAAACTGTGAATCCTTTAGATCTGTTCCGTTTTTTCACTGATCTCCAATACTGGCGTTGTAAAACGATTTACTAATTTTTGTTGCCGTTGTTCTTTTGATGGGAACGAAGGATGATGGGCGATTATAAGGTGGAAACGATAAATGACGGGATGCAGGAATTTTACGTTGAATTTCACGGGCCCAATGACAGTATGTGACTGTTTTTTGTTCTTCTTGGTGGCAAGTGGATGTAGAGCAAGGAGAAATGAAACCATGGTTTTTATTTTATTTTATTTTTTGTTGTTTTTTTTTTCTTTTTCTTTTTCCGTGTGGTTCGTTTGATCTGCGATTGGTGGTAAAAGTCCTGATTTAGATTTTGGAGGCATAAAAACTTTGAATTTTGATGTAATTTTTAGCTAGAGTATTTTATAGGGCGACGCAGAGTTGCATTTCAGTTTTGCGATTGCAACATTAGTGTGTATTTATGTTTACTGAAGAAGAAATTTTGAAATTTTCTGATGATTTGTGAAACTTAATCAGGTCTCTATCAAGGTGGAGTCTGGAAGGTCAGAGTAGAACTTCCAGATGCTTACCCTTACAAGTCTCCATCCATTGGTTTTGTTACCAAGATATATCATCCAAATGTTGATGAAATGTGAGTTCTTTTTTTTTTTTCTAAGTTTCGGTTTGGTGTGGAGGTAGCTAAGCGAAGTATAGCTGTTTTTTTTAAAGATTTTGCTGTCTTTGGGATTGTTTTGCATAACCGCATACACTTCTCAAGTTCAGGTCTGGCTCGGTCTGCTTGGATGTTATCAACCAGACTTGGAGTCCAATGTTTGGTTAGTGAACTCACCTAAATTTTTCTATACTGATTAATGTTAATTGTTACTTGTGAATGGAAAAAGAGATGGCAACTGAAATATTCCTTTTCAGATCTTCTGAATGTCTTCGAGACTTTCCTTCCACAACTTCTCTTGTATCCCAATCCTTCAGATCCGTTGAACGGAGAAGCTGCTGCTTTAATGATGCGTGATAGACAAGCTTATGAACTAAAAGTGAAAGGTTAAAACTGCTCTTTAATCTGCTTAAACATTTGCTATGGCATTTCACCCCTTATGGAGTCAGTTGGACTAGAAATTATTCTATGCAGAGTTGTGTGTCGTGACATGTGAGTGTACATAGTGTGTATATATTGTGTACATACTGTGTAAAAAATAAAAAAGTACACAGTGTATAAACACTTAGTAAACTCATAATTCGGACATCAACTTACGTCTGGACTCCACACAAAATAATTTCTCCAGTTGGACAATATTTCTAACATATATGATGATGAAGTACTAGCTAAGTATGTTTGTTTTACCATTGTGTATCTTGATCTCCATAGGTGATACCAACTTTATCAAAACATTTATAATGTATTGAATATGGTTTTCTCTTGAATATCAGAATATGATTTTCATATTGCTTCATCAAACGAAAGAATCTTTGATGTAGCACAGCTAGGAGATAAGGAGGATTTGGGGTAGGAAGGGATAGAGTTCCATTGGCATCATGTCAGATCAATTTTCGCTGACATAACACCAAGGCTAGGCTTGCTCAGCATCACATTATGGGTTCCTGGAATCGTTTGTACATCATCATATATGTGTTGTATTTTTATTTTGATATTCTTATCATCTATTCATCTATGTCTTTTTATGATCTAAAGCTTAGACAATTCCATGTATATCAATCTATGATTTAATGCTTAACTAATCCCATACTTATTTGTAATTCATTTGAAGTTTAAACCAAAGATAAATTTCTCATCAATAAATATTCACTTTAACTAGCGAACCTCCAAAGAAAGTTTTTCCACCATTACCTAATTTCATCATGCATGCGTGCTACATGATTATTAACCAGCTGATGTAAACTAATTTGGGCACTCCAGAAATACTGGATACATTTGACTTTGGTGAATTGGGCTTCTTTTTCTCCACTTGGGAAACTTAATATCTTCTATGGCATAATGAATTAAGCTATTTTATTATATCTTTGCTCAGTTTATCTCCAAAAAAAACATTCAACTTGATTTATTGTACCAATGTTTTTAGTAATTCTTGTAAGATTATTGATTTTTTTTGTCTAATGTTATCTTATGATGTTCTTATTTTTTCAACTCCGGTAATTTGAAAGGATTTGTTTTTTCAATTTGATTAGCAACTTATCTTGTTTTTCCGTGCATACCCTGACAGTGAGGAATTTTTTGTTGATGCTCCCTTTTAAATTAACTTTTTTTCTCCCTTTTAAATTAACTTTTCTTCTAGTAAATGGTATTTTCCTGAGAAGGTGGTCCTAAGAGCTATGTTTAGGTTGCTACCATTATGTCCTGAAGGGCAAATTCAAATTATGAAAACATACTCTTTGTCATATAAGTGGTATATATGATTCCCTCCCCAGAACCCACATTGATAGATTTGTTTTAGATTATATTTTCCTTCAATTGTTTCTTATTCTTATTATATTATTATTATTATTATTATTATTATTATTATTATTATTATTTACTTTTGTTCCTTCACATGGATAAATTTGTTTTAAAGAATTCCAATTCTTAACAGAGTTTTTTAAAACGAATAAGCATGTTAAGATGGAAAACTATTGATAAAATGAACTCAAATAAGTTTGGTACTTTTTTCCTTTCTCCGAGCAAAGTTTGGTATTTATTTCCTCTCTCCGAACATTGGCAGGAAGGTGCTTTGATATCATCCTGAAGTGTGTGGTTTGTCCAAATATCAGATGTGGGCCAAAGTCTTGTTAACCCATACTTGCAGGAGAACATAATGTATTTGTCCATTTATCTTTACGTATGGCTTGACATTTAAAAGATATGTTCTAAAAGAATTAAAGTTTATGTTTACACGGTGGAAGCCAAATTAGATTGATTTTAGCTCTAACATTTTCCCTTTATAGAGGAGTATGGGTTATAGGGTTAGGAGCTTAATTTGAGAGGCAAATTTTCAGTTGAAGTATAACGATTTGTTTGTAGGTTTATATTTTTTGCTTCATCAATACAACAACATCAAGTCTTTATCGCATTATGTGGGGTTGGCTACATGAATATTTTTTCTCTAGTGTGTCATGTTAAGACCAAAGTCTCATTTAAATCTAACAAAGAAAAGTTTAGTTCTACCTATACATTTCTTAATATAAGCCAAATCTAACACATCTACTCTCCTAACCGGGTCATCAGAAGGTTGCCGTTTTATGTGACCAAACCATCTAAGGTGACTCTCTCTAATCTTATCTTCGACTGGAGCTGCTCCAACATTTTCATGAATATACTCATTTTGTATCATATCTCTAAGAGTAATGCCACTCATCCACCTGAGCATCCTCATCTCTGAAACACTTAATATTATACTTCTCTTTTAATGGCTAACATTCTGCATCATAAAGCATTGCAGGTTTTACCACCATCTATCCAACTTGAATTATGCTAATAATATCCCCATTTATTTCACCATCACTTTAAACAATAGATCCAAGATATCTAAAACATATACTCTTATTAATGACTTGATCGCCCAAAGTCACAATCCCCTCATTGGATCTATTACTACTAAAAGTACACTCCATATATTCGGTATTAGATCTACTCAAATGAAAATATTTAGACTCTAAGGTTGACCTCCATAATTTAAGTTAACCTTCAATTCCCTCTCTAGTCCTATCAATAAGAAAAATATCATCAACAAAAAGCATACATCAGGGTACAACCTCTTGCAAATGTCTAGTGAGAATGACCAAGACTAACAAGAACATGACAAACTTTTAAATGAATATTAAATACTTATGATTAAGAATTACCAAAGAATGACATTCTACATTCTCACATGGCACCACCACTCCATGTGAGTTCCTAAATACAGAGTAAAAAGTGTTTTTGAATGATATTGTAGCAAGATGAAATCATTTTAATTTTTTTGACTAAATTCCGATTAAAGATTGATACCTCACATTTTTTTGTATAGTGGCTATTCTTACTGGGTGCATGTGACCCAAGAATTTGTAGACTTCTGTTCTTGAGAATGAGAGAAGTTAGTCTTTCATGACGAATTATGCTTGCCCCAAAAAACTAAGTTAGAACAACTCAACTTTTGGTTGCTGAATCACTCAATGTGTCTCTAATTGATCCAAAGTTAAAGGGAGTATTCCGTGTTGATCATCCTTATAATCGCAAACTATGGATTTAATGATTATGTGGAGAGCCTCACAAACTGAAAATCCCAAGGCACCTTGGAATTTTGGCCAATCCAATGAAGGTTTGGGTTTGCTGAAAGATGCTTAGCTTCGGTTGGAATGAGAAGACAGAAACTAGAATGCATATGGGATAACATAGAATTAGTCTAAAGGTTATTCAAATGAGTATTGATTGTAATTCTCTTGAATTGGAAAGAAGTCTTTTATGTTTGTACTTACTTTTTTCTATTTTTGTTTCTTTGATCATGCCACATGTCCATAGAGATTTTTGGTGAGGGAGGAAAGCTAGTGAGAGAAATCAAGGGAGAGAAGATGCAGTTGTAAAAAGAGAGTTTGGAGTACAGTAATGTCATGCATCCAACAGTTCCTTTATAATTAAAAGCTTACGTAAATATATCATATTTGTAGATATATGAAATGAGATCAACTCTACAAATTTTAGTTATAAGATTTATATTTATTATGTATTTTAGAGTACAACGTAATTATTTTAATTAAAATGATAAAACCTGGCTAATGTAGAACATAAAAGGTAAGGATTTTAATGGGCAAACCATGGCATGGATGAGCTATGATATAATTGGTCACATAATGTCTTGGAAGTTCTTGATGATGTGGCATTTTAAATTAGTTGTCTTAATGCCTTTATTGTGGCCTTGTTGTAGTCTTTGTCATTTAACTAATCATATCTCATCGCGTCCATGAAACCTAATTGGTTTTGTATGGCGTAACACTTCAGTTAGGTTAGCTTCTGTTAGATTAGCCCAATGGTCAGGTTAGCCAAGTTGAGCCAATGTAGCTCTTCTTGGTTGGTGTCCAATTTGGTAGGAGTCTCTTGGATTTTATCTCTCCCCTTCAAATAATTTGGTTTTATAATTAAGCATTAAAATGGAGCTATCCTTTTATCCAATTGGATCTAGATAGTTATCTAATTTTTTACTGTTGTTTTGGGCCTTCACCTGCATGGGTTAGCCCAAAAATTTTGATGCAACTTTTCTTCTTTCTTTGGGGAACTTTTTTCTTTTGTTGATTATTTAAGTTCTCATATGTGTCTTTCTTTGCGCTTAACTTTTTGGTTTAATTGTCCTTTATCGGTCTTGCGGCGTCTTGAGCGTTTTCTCCTTTTTTGTTTTTTGTGTTTAGAAGAATCTGGCATTTCTGTGATTTTATGCAAGAGGGTGTAGGATTTGCTTATCAGCCTTTTAGGCTGTTGAAGTTATCTCTAACAGTCTTGGTAAAGATGAACTTCTCTTTTGTCTTTTCAGACAGGCATGTTGGCTGCCCCTTGTAATGTATGCCATTATCCAACAAATATGTTCTTAAAATTACGTGTCACTCATCTAATAAAACAACCTCATAAATGAACTAATCTATGAATTTCTCACTATTGGCTAATTTTGTTCTACATTCTTTGGTGACTAAATATTGAGTGTTCTTCTTAACCAATCTAAGGATTAAGATTTAGGATGCCAAGTAGTGGATAAATCCAATTTTCTAAGTGAAGGCAAAATAAAATTATTCTTTCTTCCCAAATACAAAATTGCAATAATGAATATGCTTTCCTAAATGTTGAGTAGCATATCTTTCCATTCCTTCTTCCCTGCTATATGGTCCTGGTCCATCAAGGATAAAGTTGGATCTACTGCCAAATCTGATAACTTATCCAGATCTGTTGCATTGGTCACAAGATCTTGCTTTCCTTAATTGTTCTCCCTCTTTGGTTCTTTTTTTTGGATGTAGTTTCTAGTAGTTTTTGTTGAAGTGACATGGATGTTTGTAGTAAGATCAATAAAGGCTTCTTCCTTTTCTTCCTT